CTGTCGGAGAAGGATGAGGAACGCGAGCGGCCGAGCTATTGAGGCTGGACACGCAGGTTGCAACAAAGCAGGAAAAATGACGAGCGCACGGGGGAGCGAAGAGGCGCTGGGCTTTTAATCTTTTTTTTCCATTTTTCCCTTTCTTCCTCTCTCCCCAACCTGCCGGCCGACGTTGTAACCCACTCTCATGCGTTCGAGTGCCTTCGGATTGCAGAAGTCGCCTCGGCCAGACTGTCCCTTCTGCCGGCCGGCCGAAATTCTGACGGCAAAACTGGTCATGGCCTTAGATCTGCCCCAGCCTCCTTTTGTCCCATCATCTACAGCTCGCGCTCCTTCCTTCTGAACCAAGCCTCAAGAGGCGAAACTGAGGCAAAGCGAAGACTATCCTCGAAAGCCACATTCAAAAGGCGACCACCACTTTGCCCCAAATAGAATCAAATAACCTCTACCAAGTGTCGGTAGTGTTAAGGGGAGCATATAAAACTGACGCCTCATGCAAATGGGCGGACAGAAAAGAGCCAGTCCGAGTGGAGACAAAAGATGATAATCTGCCTTCTGTTGGAGTGGCATGACAATAAATCAAGCCACTCAAAGCGTCTGTACAGAATGCTGGGTGAGACGAGAGCAAGTGATTCGTGCATTCTTACGATAAGACGTGATAAAGAGAATCTGTCGAGCAAAACGGCTCCTTAAGGGCTCTGAATGTGGAGGGGGTGATGAGAGGAAATCGCATGGGCGTCCTCTTTCAACCACTCAAAGCTGGCAGTAAAGTTGACCTCTCCGGAGCCATAGCATAGGAGCCCTAGTTCAGAAATGTCCTCACTGCGAAACGTCTTGGAATGTACCAAATCCATGGTCCTATATTAGAAGCTATGAAAGAGAAATTCAGTCATGGTCGCCTTCGTAACACGGCCATTTCTAATAAAGTTTAGGCTTCAGCAGTGGTGAGTATTTATAAAAATATATGATTCGAAATTCCATGAAATAAATAATCGGGATTAATCTAAATAAATCTCCGCTTTATAGATATTGCAGAGAAATTTAGCCAAAATGTATATAATAATATTGTTGGGGAGACTGTCTTTTTAGATGAAAGTGTATAATGAAGCTATTCGAAGGTCAATCTCACCAGAAGACGACGGCTAATTCCCGTTTTACTGCAGTCGTTTGGCCTAAATACGACTT